TATCAGTGATGCAATGTATGACTACGAAATTTACCTCGACAAAACCGATTCGATGGTTGGAATTCAAGTCTACCACCGACTTTAGCGCAAATCGATCTTTTAGCGCCTTCTAGGACATATCCTTCATTGCATTCAAATCCAACCACTTCTCCCTCTGAGTACTTGCTTCCTGGGGATTTATCACTCAGCAACTTTCCATTTTCAAGCGAGTCGGGTTCATCACATGTAGGAATAACTGAGAAAAGTCGAAGTCTGTTAGGTCATAATAAAATAACTCGTCGACTTTTTCAAATCAAATGTACTAACCTTCGCATGCGGGCGTGCCTGGCTCAAATACTCCAGCTTCAGAGCATGTTGAACGAGATCTACCAATCAAAATATAATCTGATTTACATTCAAATATGATTGTTTCTCCGATCTCATATAATTCTTTAAATGTTGATGCAATCATAAGACTTCCATCAGAAGGAAGTTGAGGTTTGCTGCATTTTACTATCTCTGTAACAATGATTTTAGATATATAAGTTGTGCATCAGCAAATGCTACTACCACACATAGTATAAATGCCGGTTCTAGGAAAATTCGCCGTAGGAAATTTCGCCGCATGGGAAAAATCGCCCTATTTCAAAAAGACTCGGTATTTAGAGAATACTCTAACCCTCTGAACCCAACTGTTTTTATTACAAATACATCACATTTTTTATCACAATTTAAAACAAGTACTTGTTTTAAAGCAAAATGCTCTTGCGATTTTTCCTATGCGGGGATTCCCTACGCCGAAATTTCACCACAAAACGACTTTTGATGCATAAAAATTTTGAGAACCTTGAACACGACTATATATTTTGTTGTTGACATTCCCAAAGAGATTTTTCTGGCTTGAAGTGGGAAAAAATCCCTCAATGTTTACCACGCGTTTCGAACTTTTTTTCAAATTCAGAAAAACAAATATATGTATTTATGATAGTTCTCTTACTCTTGCATTCAGGAACTTCCTTTGAAAATTCTCCGCTGGCTTGACAAGTTGCTGATTCGGCACCTTCAATTTCATATCCAGAAGTACAAGAAAATATAATAACATCGTCAACTTCGTAGGTCAGTCTTATAGGCGTCGTATTGCCGTTATTTGGTAAACCAGGAAAGTTACAGGATTCTGAATACAAACATGTATATTTCGGTAATGTGTTAAAAAATACTTACATTGTTCAGTACAACACTGCATTTTAAAAGATTTCAAATGATGTATATAATGCAACAAATAACAAGCCAAAATGAGAATATTTTAATTATTTGCTGTCCGTATATCGACATCTATAAAAACATACTTTTGCAAGTTGGTACATTTTCGGAGAAAATTCCTGTATCCAGGCACGTGGCTGCCTCAGCACCATCTCTTTCAAATCCATCTCGACATAAGTAAATCACGCTTTGGCCAACATCATAGATGGGCTTGCCTGGTCGAGTTTGACCATTTGTCGGATTTCCGGGAAATTGACATGTCGTTATTCCTGATTAGAATATTTATTATATTGTTCTAAAATTAGCCATACATATCAATTTACAGTACTACACACAATAATGATGTTCGTGATGATAAAGCGAGCTTGCATGCATACTGGGTATTACTGGAGTCTTTCTTATGATGATGGAAGAAAAGTTTAGTTTAAGGCATATTAGGCTTCAAAAAATTATTGAGAAACTTAACTCAAAATGAAATAAGGACAAAGATTACAAAAGTCTAGCCTTATTCCAAGAATATCTCATCAAATAACGTGATTTGTTTTCCAATGTTCTAATACGATTTTATACGAAATATGTTGAATAGTAATAACTACGTTTTATCTTTTGTTTCAATAGTATTTAATCAGCACCTGAAAACGTGGTTTTAATCGAACGTGCCGTTAAAACGAATAACTTTGACTGGATAATATTTGCAAGAATGATTGGAGAGCTTTCTATTAGATGACAATTTTTGAAACAAAAATATTTATAAATGATATTAACTAAAGCAATGCCAATTAGTTAGTGAACTGGTATGTCTCGTAGAATATATGATGCCATTATGCTATGAAAAATGAATTGAAAAAGTAAGATGAAAATGAGCATCACTGCAAAGCGCGCAACTGGATGTATTATCAAGCATATTAATTATTTATTTGCATCATGCGGTTGGATGAGAGCGATGGCACTCACTTTTACATTCGGGGAAACTCTTTGAAAATTTGCCACTTGGTTGGCAGATAGAGAATTGGACTCCAACTCTCTTGTATCCAGGATGACATACATACTCCACAAATTCATTAATATCGTAGGACGATTGCGTAGGAAGCGTATTACCATGACGTGGATTTCCAGGAAAGTCACAAGATGTTACTAAATCGAATAGGATTTCAAATTGTAACGATGACCTAATGATTTGCTCGTGTAACCTACAACGTTGTTGTTGTCGACTCGGAAGGCCCCAGGTTCATAACCCACTATCTCGCCCTGAGCGAAATAAACTTGACGGGCGGGCTTTGCATAAACTAAAATATTTCGTTTCTTGCAAAATTAATAAATCTATCTTTTTATATGGACAAACCCTTGTAGGAAGATTGTCTAGACTAGACTCCAGAGTCGTTGTTTTGAACCAGTGTTTCTTGGAACCCTGGGGTTCTGGCAGTACAGTCCACGGTTTCGCAAGTTTACATTGACATCCGAGCGTTGATATTATTGTATGTATATCGTTTAAATATCATAAAAATATGCGGATATAATATAATTATAAAATAAGTGTATTTCACTATTGTTCCCTAAAGGAACTTCAGGTGTTCCCGACAAATCGTCTTTACACATTTTTTGATTGGCATATCTTATGATACCAAATATATTCATATATTTTAATATACAAGTCTCGGGAATGTGTCATTGTGTTATCGCCAAAAAAAACATTGAGAACGACTGGTCTGAGACAACCAGCCGTACAATTATTAAAAAAAAGGGAACTTCCATATTAATACTAATACTAAATTAACGATAATCATCAACACTTAATAATAAAATGATGGCGAATATACTGTGATATATAGTATACTATTCCATTCTTGTGTCTTAATGGCAATTTTTTCTTAATATATTTGCTATGAAAAGTCAATGGATAAGCAAAATTCACTTACTTTCCTTTTTACAAGTGGGCGGTGCAGGAATGAAAACTCCAGCTTTTGAGCATGTTGATCTGATAGATCCAATAAGCTGATATCCAACATTACATTTGAACATAACATATTCATGTGGTTTATAAAACTGCTTGCTTCTATAAGAAGTAATGAGAAATCCATTTTCTGGAGAAGATGGTTCTGGACATGTCTTGAAACCTTTAATAAAAAACGAGGCTTGTAAGTAGTGGCTATTTTAGTATGTAGTAAAATTTAATTTGTCCTTTTTTGTTTGTTCTAGCAGAATAATATATTATCTTGGAATGCGTGAGAACAATATAAATTATTAGTTTAAAAATATGTGACAAAAATGTATACAATGTTATCTTTATAATGGGTATGCATGAAACCTAAAAGTTAATATTTTTCATTTAATATTCATATAAAAAAATGTAAAAAAACCCAAATCTATGTAACAATTTGAATTCCTTCAATATGCCCCTTACAATCTCAAGTGGTTTTTTTACCGTTTATCTTTACCTTCCTGAGCTGTGATTAAAACATCATCTAAATTACCAAGTTCAAACTTACCTTCGCATGTTGGAAGTTTTTCCGAAAACTTTCCACTTTTCGTACAACGCGCCCATTGTATTCCCCCAAGAACATATCCATCGTCACATTCAAATGCTATAACTTCTCCAACATCGTATGTAGGTTTGGACGGTTTCGTTCTACCATTGTCTGGATTTCCAGGGTACTTGCAACTTACATCCACTGTTATGGATCATAAAATATATTTATGAAAATCCTAGATAAAAATATTTCGGCAAAAAAATGTACAAGATCGAAAGTGGATCTATATTCTATACTATACTTTTTCAAGAAATAAAAATATTGAGCACAACGAATCGGTTGGACGTATATGGAGGGAATGTATAACGAGTATGATATATCGATATTGAAACATTGGTCGAGAATGAATCGCCTGCTATTACAGAATTTGTTGCCATTGCCCGAAAGTACCACCAAACAACGTTGTAACTAAATTTTGAATGGTATTAAATAGTTTAAGTAAGAAATTATGCTGTAATTTTACATTTATGACAGACAGGAATGTCGACAAAAAATCCACTCGTTGTGCAAATCCCGTAAGTTTTTCCAACTAACTTATATCCTTCTTCGCATCTATATGTTACGACTTCTTCCGTGTTGTACATTGGTTTATCCGGAGAGAGATTAAGATGTTTTACATCCGGATGTCCACATACTGACTTAGCTGAAAAGAGATCATTACAACTATAATTAAAACTAAATTCATTGTTACAAAACCAATGTTGGTACTAAAATAATACAAATTTAATTGGATAATAACGATATACAATGTTGGGTGAGACACTACCTACAGTGTATCGAAAAGTACATTTATAGCAAAAATAATATCACTTAAATAACCTAATTCGCTCTGATCGCAATCCAATATCACATACGCTAGATCCCATCCTACCATTTCAAATAACAAGTTGTTTATTGTATGACCTGTTGTACATTAAGTACTTAATTAGGCACTTAATTGGTATTGCGTAATACTTGTTAGAGTATTTAATTTCATAATTATTCGAGCGCAAGTAAACAAAAATATTATAATGTACGAGATCTGAGTTGTTTACTGGCCGATTACAGGAGTTGATGATTTTTACTAAAAAATAAAGTAAGCTTACATTTATGGCATATGGGAACGTCCTCAAATACTCCACTTGATGTGCAGATTGAGGTCGATTTTCCAATAAGAAGGTATCCGTCTTTGCAAGAATATTTCACGACATCCTTGACAATATATATAGGTTTGTCGGGAGACATATTCAAATGCTCTACTTCTGGACGATCACAAGTTTTTACTGCCAACGAAAATAGTTAAATGAACTCAACTGTGGCAACAGCATATAATATAATGAGAAATTGCACTGGAATGTGCAAAACATTGTCTCTTCAGGTGCATTACTTAATTTGAGCTACAGTTTTTTGTACCTGCAACAAACTCGTTCTAGCAATGTTTTGATTCTATAAGTACGAACACATAAGAAATCTCACATTTGTTGCAAAAGGGAACATTGATAAAGAATCCACTTCTGCCACACTTTCCAACAACGTCACCAATAAGCAGATATCCTTCTTCACAAGTATATGATACGGTATCGCCAATAGAATATTCTGACCAGAATGGCAACACCCGTAATGCTTCCTTTTGTGGCGCAGTACAGGTCTTAACTGTAGATAGAAAATGGTTGTGTGTGTTTTACATAGTTACAAAGAGTATAAGATTGCCAAGATGAATGCCTATATACATCAATAAAACCAGCAGTTAAAAGCAGTTAAAAAAGTGCACTTAAATCTACTGCCCGCCACGGCAACCGGGATGAGATTTTTTTTAATTGTGCACATTGGGGTGAGGAAAAAAATTGACAATTCTGCATATTTGGAACGGTTTACTAAAAAATAAAAAATAAATAATGATCTTTGAGTTATAAAAAAGTCCAGTAATTATTACATAAGAGCTATATTATAGCAACAATCGTTCTTTTATTCGTTTATTGTTATTTTCTATTTTAAAATTCAAGATGAAATGTTGTATGAATGAATGAATGAATGAATAAAGTTTTCTCTTACTTTTGTTACAGAAAGGCACATTGAGGAAAATTCCGCTTTCTGAACAACTTCCAGTTCGTTCCCCAATGAGAAGATAACCATCTTCACAACTGTATTGGACAATGTCTTCAACATAATATGAGGTTCGTGATGGCTTAACAATGAGTCCGTTTCCTTCTGGAGCGACGCAGGTTATCTTGTCTATTAAATTAATAGAATCCCAAGGAAAGTGTTTAGATATATGCTACCAATTTCTTTCTTTAAATGGCGCAAGGAAAATATATTATGAAGCGATTTTCAATGGCAACCTCAATATCAAACTAAAATGCATTATAGTATTTCCGAATTTTAAAATTACGATTTAAGAATACGGAGATGGCAATTTTGTTTGTTATTTTACAGTAAGTATATTGAAAGTGATTCATTTATACAACCTCAGATGATAAATATTTAAAATATGAATAAATCTTACCTTTATGACAAGCAGGTATTTCTACGAAAACACCATCATGTGTACAAATTCCGGTATTTTTTCCGACTAACGTATATCCATCGTCACAAGTATATCGAACTGTTTCTTTGACTTGGTAAATTGATTTTGATGGGCGTAGTAATAATCCCTCTACTGGTGGTGGCTCACAAGTCGTTTCCTTTATTTTGGCTAAATGATTTGAACGTTAAACTAACGCACAAATTAAATTTGGTATTATCTTCGAATATAACAAATACGCAATAACATCGAGTGATCGAGTCAAACTCGATAAATTTGTAAATGCGACCATTCCGTATTCCGCTTAGTCTTGTGCGTAAATTCACATAAAGGTAATGACAAACTATGTATATAAAAAAAAATAGCCGTTGTTTGTCGCACATGTTGACTCATCGAAATACTATATAAGAACTTTTTTGATAAAGTATATTTTGTATAGTCTTCATGAAAGCCGTTAAACCTGCCTCCCATGCTTTTAGTTATATGCATAAATGGGACAAAATTCACACTTGTTTTCATTTGTGCTACGCAAAAAAAAAACTATTATCCTAATAATGAACCAATACTTACGAACACACGAAAGCGCTCTTGCCGGTGGTGCCCACGCTCCAGTTCTCGTACAGAGGGTGGTAAAACCGGACGAATATTTTGATCCACTAACTAACTGATATCCATGTCTGCATACTATTGTGAGCTGGCTACCCGCTCTGTACGTAGTGTCATATCCATAGCCATATGACGCCCCAAAACTACCAGGACTTGTTAATAACGCATGTTCAATTTTTGGCTGGTAACAAGCTAAAATAAATTATGATGATTTCACTGAAATATCTTTGATTCTGCATTTCACTAACTAACATAACTTAATTTTTGCTAATATATGTAGATTACGTATATGGTAGGATAATGTTAATAAGGCTAGTCTTGATAGCGCATCAGATCCAACCATACAAATTCAACCAGAACGTAAAAATTGGGCATTCCCAGCAGATCAGGGAATATTTCTGCCATCAATAAACAGGTGAAAATTAGATGATTGATTCAAAACAGACAAGCAACTAGCGGTATAATAACTAAGTTATTATCCGAATTACCTATTACAGTAAACGCCTAGAAATTCATTATTAGTGAATAAGATAAATAAAATACTGACTCACCATGTAGAAACGTTGATTTAACTTCTAATATACTTATTGTCAATAGAAATAAATACAGCATTAGCCGGTAAGCGACAACCATATTGTTACGCTACCTTGATCTGCAGAAAAATAACAATCGTAACCAAAAGCTTCCGATGCAGACAATTCGACTAATTCGGTGAAAATGATGAAAATACAATGCAGCAAACATATATGTAGATCGAAACTATATAATTTATTTCAAAAACTCTCACGATTCAAAACCCTGATACTGTAAAAATAAAAAGATATTACACCGGTGTTTTAGTGTAATTCAAAATACCACGCAATTTTAAAATTGCTAAAGAAACATTGTCAGATTTTTGTGTTATTTATAAAAATGGGTTTGACTCAAAAAACTTCATTTTGAACTAAATTATCTTGAATTACAATGATATTGTAAATATTTTACTTTGAATTGTTAATAGCGTGTTTTGTACACCGTGACACAAAGTATTTTGAGGCTTACTAATTATCACGACATTGCAATCAACCAGGCGCTATTACGACAATGATCGAATTTAATTTTTCTTTATTACAGGTGTCGATAGAACGAAACCATGAATTGTTTACGTAAATATTGGCAAAATCATTAGTTTTGATACTTTTAGCAATAATTATATAGTATTAATTACATTTTTATGTAATAGTTGCACGTGGAAAATATTCACTTTATCCCGGAATGGCTTAAACATGTAGTAATGAATAAATTACTTTAGAAATCCTAAATGAACAAACTGAAGTTTTTAGTTGAATTAAACAGTTTTTTTCTTCATGTATACATTAGGATATAATTACTACGTGTTGTACTTTCCTCAGTCGGCGTAGCATCGTAAAATGACGTCACCAAGTGAAAGTATCTAACAGGTTCACAACCATGCTAATTGTTTTCAAGTTCCACAGCCTGCACACGTATATTTTTTAGAAACTAAAAAATTTCCCGAAATTTTAAATACTTGTTTTTCCAATTGGTTTCACAATCATTTCTAAAAATTCTCATGTAAAGTATCATTCCAAGTTTCAGTGGAATTTGAATTTGAACAATCGTCGAGTACACGCAAATCTACGATTGTTCTACTTTGTTTGAATGTAACCTGGTATGAATAGACAATTGGTTATCACGTTAACTATGATGGTGTAATATGTTAAATATCTGGTGTTCAAACCCCATTTCTGCCAACTTACTCTGAGAGTAATAAACGGTAAACAATGCCCAGATTCGGGATTCACGACGGCATTGTCTTTATTGACTTATACGTTGTTGCTGATCATAAGTAAAATACTTCATAAAAATGCGACAAAACATATCGAAAAGTGAATATATCGAAGCATTTACCTTATTTAAAACGTGGATAGTTAGCAGACAGTTTATCATTTGTTAAGTTAGGTATGTCAACACGTTGTAACTGTCATATATGAATTTAAATATTGAATAAATGGTAACTATTGATACGTTTAGTCTCTTTGAATAAGATTAAAAAAAAATATGATTGACTTATTTTTGTGAGCCCAATCCCATTCTTTCAAACAATGTTGTATAATTCGGTTCATACTTCTACCAAGTCTGGATATCGTTATACCAGTTAATCTGTTTTAATCTACCAATATGAGAATAAAAACGGGTGATGAGGGAGAGAAGGCAAACAGATTATTTTTAAAATAAATATTTTTATGGCTATAAATATGGCCACATAACTTAATTTACAATGTGCCAAAGGCTGGGAAATAAAGTAATCAAAGTAGTTCACCTTCAACATTTTCTATTGAATTCAATATTGAATGTTATATATATAATTAGTAGTTGTTGCAAGAATTAAAAAGCAATCGACTGAGTATCACAAAATTCAATAGGCATTGGTGTTGTATGGATTGTGACGAGAAGAAACCGAAATTAAATTTAAATACTTAAATTTTAAACGGCAAATATTTTTCAAACACTCTATTTTCATTCACGCTTGTTATGTATAAACTTTCATGGAAATGGGGAAAATTGTGTCGTAATTATGACGTAATCCGAATACATAAAGAGCAGCATATTATCATAAAATAATTTTTAAAATTTCAGTTTTTCGTTTTGGTATTTTTGACCTAATTCGTCTTGAGGGTATCATTTTTATCATTAGATCAACTATCATATCTGATTCTCCATCACGGGTAGATTCTATAGATATTAGTCTCATCATGTTCATATTTTGAAGCATTTCAAATTGGGTGTACTTGTTTATTAATTTATCGTTATCTGATAAATTCTGCCAACTAAAAAAGGTAGACCTAAATTTTTTATACTTCATCTAATATCAAGTCAAACTCGATGAATTTGTCAATGCGTCCGTTACGGCTATTTCTTTTTATGCATAGTTATACTACTATTCGGAGTAAATAAAAATCAGAGAACTGGATGGATATCGAATTATTTTATGAATCTTGAGTTCATATATACAATATTACACAATTTTTGTACGTTGCAGAAAGAAACAAATTGACCAAAGGAAAATAGTGAATTTTCCCTGAATTACGATACCGCATATATATACACTCACATAAATATCTACCGCCTGGGTGAGGGGTACTTTGGGCTAGACGGGGTACTTTGATGATCTCAGATATTTCAATGACATTATCTAGTCGTGTTATCAGAATCGTACAACCGCCAAAATACAATGATATGGGCGTCTAGCATCAAGCCGAATTAAACTGTATATTTATCTTCCATAATGAATGACCATAAACCTCATTGTTTAAGTGGACACGTGTTTGAAACCTAGTTTATGCCTTCAGGGTTTTGCATGCAAATGCATCAGTTATACAACCATGACGTCACGTTTAAATTTCTATTTGATAGAATTTATCTAAACTGGCTTACCATTCAAATTTTACACTTGGAGCACAATAGATTGGAACTTATATATATATATATATATATATTTGGGGAAACCATAGACAATATACCGCAAGCTGCTTGTTTTGCTGAAATTTAAGACAATTCGCCATGTCTTTGGTGTCGCATTCAATTTCATGTTATTGGCGTACGTTGAATATTTTTTCAATGTCAACGATTGAATACTTCAGTTTACCATTGACGTCCAAATAGCAATAAATAAAACGAATACTAATTTTATTTTGACATCTATATGTCCTAACTATTAAAAGTTTAATTCCTGTTCAGGCTGATACAAACTATGCAGCGAGTGAAAATCAATTCCAACGCCACGTTTTGACTATTTCTAAATCCGAAATATTCACTTTTTCCGAGACTAATAATATAAGTGAAATTTAAACGCGCATGAAATATGGACAGTGGCTATAGCCAATACCAGTGATATTATTCTGTAATATCAGTAAATACCAATATTACGCAATAAAATGATATAATTTGTTACACCTTGACAAATTGTATATCTGTCAAATTTAAAATATTATCAACAGTCTACACTCATTGTGAAAACCCACATTGGCAATATGGTACTGAGTAGTGAACGGACTTACCATGAAGAATTTGGCCGAGTCAAACTAAAAAAAAAAGCTAAAATTTGTGCCAGGGTCACAAAAGCTAAATACTATCAGTTCTGAAATAGATCAACGGTTGATGAACATAATACGATCAATAGAGGTTATCAACTAATGAAGTTTGTATCTATTGCATCTGATAAAATCAAACCTTCTGGCTATAAAGCATAACAATAATCCTCGTACAAAGTAAAAATTACGAGTTTTAAATATTTAATGACTAACATCTTTGATACAAAAACTGTTTTCTAACTTCAAATGAGTATCCATGTACAACTTAATATGGCTACGTATATTTCTCAATTCCTAATTTTATTGATCTACGCTATCTATACTCATATTTTTTATTTTTATATATCTGAGCTCAAAAATAGCCTGAAATTTTCACAAGATTTTATATCCTGATACAGTAGATTTGTGCAACGATTAGATCATTGGGTGTTTTCTTCGGGCTGTACGGTGTTTACATGCTACATATCGTAAATTTGTACAAGGCTCTGTCTTGGTACCAATTCTTAAGATTGTTTATTTAGCCCGATAAAACTTTACATTTTAAATTACGAAATCGAAACTGCGAAAGGCAAGAAACTGCAAACTGTTTTATATATAATTAGGTTGGTAAATATACGGTGGTTTGATTGGATTTTAAGAAAATTAAACACTTTTACGCGTTCCAATCGCTTTTTTATTAAAACCCCGTGGTTTAAATTTCATAGAAATTAATAAATCATATAAATTTGGCCAAGTAAAAAACGTCCCATTTTCTATCAAAACCACAAGGACCAAGTCCGGTGCAAAAATTTAATACATTTTTTAAAATGATTTTTAAGTGATTTTTTTATAAGCTGGAGATTGCATATTTTTACTGCTGTTTATTCTGCAACCGGAATTTGTTATGGGTACGCAAAATTACACGAAAAGCCTGTATTTATAGTGAATGCCCTAAGGATGAGTTTCCAGTAAGTCGTATATTGCATAAATGTCGAAATATTACAGTTAGCCACTAGACAATACTTCGGTGAAAGGTTATCACGAATTATTGCGGTCTTTGTGACGTTGTAAATTCTCTGTTCAAAATATCGTAAGGTACTGGGATATTGTGCATCGGCATACAGATTCTTTTCTCTTTGTGTAGTTTCTAGGCTGAATTCTTATGTGGCCGTTGCAAAAAGAATTCTAGGACGAGATTGTATTAATGTTATAAGTATAACACAATCAGAAAGAGATAAATCGTAACTCTAAACATTATGGTTATTATAATATTATAGAAATCCTGTATTTATAATTCTACTTTCCAATTTTCATATTATTTATTAGGAGTTACCAAGTTGAATATCGGGTCAAGCTTCAATAACATTTATGCACACATACCTACACCAGTTGCTACAACTCATCTATTTTTCTAAACATTCTTCACATTTCGGACAATGATACGTTATAGCGACCATACAATTATTCGACACGAAAGGTACATATGGATCGTTTTGTTACTATGTTGTTGCTCTAATTTTTATTGTTGGTATTGGTATTCTTATAGCTTTTCTTTTTCATTAGTAGACCAAATGCTTTGAAATTTTCAGTTGATAGAAGATTGTATTTTTCACTAGAAGGCTAATACTTTTATTTATTTCAAAAAGTATTGGATTCGATTTTCGTGTGGCATGATGTCATCAAAAATTGCGCATCTTGTTGCGGTTCTGGATTCACGATAGTCGTGAAGATTACGGCACCGATGCATACCCGTAATACTTCGTTTTTGCATTCGTGTCCATACATTTGAGCCTCGCTCTCTTGTAAACG